AAATGTGCTAATTATTGCTCAAATGTGAGCTTCACCAACTTAGGAATATTTTTGCATATTTTCACGTTCAAGGTATGCATTTCTTGACAACTCTCGGAGTGTTTCCTTTCAAAGAAAAATTAAACCAGTCCCATGAGGGAATGGGGAGTGAAATCTGCTCTTCCTTGGGGAAAGCATGGGTCGTTGTTACCTTCAATAACTCCGGAATGACTACACTTGGTACACAGGTTTGGCCATGGAAGAGATTTTAATTGAATATGGTTGTTTGTAGAAGTGCTCAACCTTGAAGAGGTGGTGATCTGCAGCAGCATTGCAAAATCTCAATCTAAATATTACTAAACATTTAAATAGGCTAACAATTCGTTTAATAAGCACTCCGTAAAAACCGGACGCTAATTGGCTTCCAGCATTTTTATGTGCAGTTTTATGTCGACATTACTTACAATATTTACGTATTTATCCATTTAAAAACCACGCACGCTTATCCTTGATACACCAAACGTGCCTGCTGAGGTTCGTTCGTATGGTGAGTTTGTTCCGTGGTTGCGCGCGTCCAAGAAATCGTGAAAGGACAAGCTACCATTTTTAGATTGTATTGTTTATGTGTCCTTGCTTCGGCTTAAGACTCATAAATAATGGCTGGGGAATTAAAAGCTGAACCTGGTCACGATATATCATTTGAATTTTTAATTGTTGAATGTAAAAAGTGCGAAAAAATCCAAATCAAGTTTTTGCGTGCGCGCCCCGACAATGCGAATTGTGACTAATGGTAGTTTTCCTTGTTGCAGACAAAAAAGAACAATCCGAACCACATCAAGAGGCCAATGAACGCGTTCATGGTGTGGTCCCAGATCGAGCGCAGGAAAATCTGCGAAGTTTCACCAGACATGCATAATGCGGAAATTTCGAAAAATTTGGGTAAACGTTGGAAGTTGCTGAACGACGAGGAAAGACAACCGTTTATTGAGGAAGCCGAGAGGCTGCGCCAACTTCACCAAAAGGAATATCCAGATTACAAGTACCGCCCTAGAAAGAAGACGGCCAAACCCACACCGAAATCGGCCTCGAAGAAGTCATCGAAGAGAAGCTCCAAGTCAAAGCGCCATGAGCCCAACAATAACGATTCATTGAAAGAGAAAATCTTCAGCAGACGCACAGTGCCAGAATCGGTCGCCTCAAGGCTGAAGGGCAAATTGACGTCGATTTCTTCTGCGGAACGAGTGGAACCGAAAGTGGAGCTGGAGACCAGAATGGAGATTAGCTACGACACCTACGATCCAATTAGACAAAATCTCCCAACCACTCTTCCGCCAATTAGCTTCTTAGCCAAGGTTCCATCGAGTCCATCCTGTGAGACTCCCGACTCACCGGAAAGTGCGACAATATACGAGGACTCCTGGGTGAACCTAGTGAAAGAGGAACCCGACGACAGGCTCACATATGGTGCACAAATTGCCAATGGCTTAGAAGACCTAGATAATTTAGAACTCCTCCCAATAGACGATCTTGATCTAGCAAGACTAGCCGACTTAGACTCGAGCTTTGACAACACCTCAAATAGCTCAGGTTCACACTTGGACTTCACCTATCCTACAGGCTTGTTCCCCATGGACAATAATTGGGAAGCAGAAACCTTTATGATGTGTTGAGGGAGCAATTTCAAGACTGCTGGACAAATACAATCATTGTTGTTGAACCGATTGCCTAATCGGTATCGGAAGTCCAATCGCTGTAGTCCAAGACAATTGTTATCTTTAGTCTACACTGAGGCTACTACGATATCGTTGATATATTATTTATATATTGTTTGACCCCATTTCTGATCTCATTTTTTATATGTATAAATGAAAAAGAAACAGGCATTGTTAGGTTCACCAGTCTTTCTTTTGATCTACCAGTTGTTAGTGCCTAGCTCATAATGGATATGTCGGAGGTGAGTGAACCGCTCACTCATCGACTCTAGTTTAGACAGATTAAGCTCCATCGTGTGCGATGGGACACAATATCAGGCTGTGATTTGATTCGATAGTTTTGATGACCAATTTAGTTTTGGTTGATCAAATTTGGAAAAAATCCGATTTACGTAGACTTTTTACAGGTGCTGCTGCTTTTCGATTGTCCGGATGCACTTTTGGGTATTTACATTTACTTACCATTGAGAAGTTGCGTTCTGTTTCACAGTCTGGCAAATTTGGCTCTTGTTGTTTTGCCGATCTAACTGCGAACTGCTACTTGCTTCGACACCATCATGCGGGGACTTTGGCAGAGAATATATGTATTTTATCTTATAAATATCTATCGTACGTATAAATAAATCAAGACAATTATACTGAAATATCCCAACATTACCTATATATTCTGTATATTGACATAAAAACAGTGATAAGCTGAAATTTATTTCGCAGAAATTGTCGTTTAAAAGTTAAATTTTTTCACTACATGGCCACTCACAAGTAAATCGTGATTGCTAACCAACCATCGCACCAACAACACTCCATGTACACCAGTAGTTGCAGGCTCTGATTTATCTACTTTACTTATAATTAATCTTTATTATTATCATCATTATTAAATATTATTAGCCATTTGCCAACATCCCAAGTGCATTGGAACGAAACAGTGGCTCAAGAACAGTTTTTTTCAAATGGCAAATGAAACAACCAGAACCAGATTTTCGTATGACTCCAGAAGCATTTCCAAAATTGAGTGAATATAAGAGGCACTCTCTACACGATTATTGCTGGCCAAAATATCTTGTACTTAAATATGTCTTACTCAGATGGTACTGTAAGGGTTTATCAAAATATAGTTATTGGGTACGTGAAAGTTAAGATCTAATAATACTAGTGATGTTAGGCTAAGGTTTCGTTGGATCTGAATGTGGAGAAATATTCGCCAGATCCAAATCGCGTTCGGGATCAATCTGTCTCAATTGCGAGAGGTGCACTCAGCTTTAATGTGATCTTTAAATACTCGTCAAACGCCCAACTAAGGTTTGGATCAGGAACTATTTCTTCAAATGCTGGATAATTGCTTTAAGTAGAGCTTCGAATGGCAATTTCAAAGGTTTTCGCATTTTCAGGACATTTTCAAAATTCGACAATATAAGGTCAATTCAATGAAATTGTTATTCAGAAATCAAGTTTTGCACACTGTCGTCTGTTGTAAATACTAATTTCTTCATGTTCCTTCTCATGCAAACGTTTCGTCAATGGTGTTTAGGTCTGGAGTGTCGCGAGCTCCGAAAACAGGACTATTTACGCTTAAAACTCTTATTTTTCAGTTGTATCTTTAACAAGTCAATGCACAAACTAAAAAACGTAAGATAACGTATAAAGTTTTCAAATTTATTTAGAGTAGACAACGATATTCTTATAATAAATTGATATTATAAACTGGCGCCATGCCATTGCGTCAATACATGTGCTTTCAATGTTTAGAATTTACAATTATTAGGTGCAGCACAAATAGAAATAACATTTCTTCTCGATCAATTTTCTGAAATCATTTTTTAATGGGAAATTATTGCGTTCTTAATCTGTCGCTGTTGCTGTAAAGTATCTCTGTATTTATTTGGGTGCTTACTGGCTAATTTAAACATTATTTGGACCTGGTTTTTGAAAGGATTGCGGTAAAGTTAGGTAGTCGGGCTTATATAAATAAAGTTTGCCCGACTGTTCCAACCTACCTATGTCATGAAAGTTAACAAGGGTTTAATTGATAAAATTTGCCGGGTTTTTGTTTGTTTCGAAGTCTGGACTGGGATTCATTCCTTTTTTCGATTAATCTTTACAGGTACATTAACTTCATTATACGCTAGTAATAAGGCCGCAAATGGATGAATACTTTACACTGATCGACAGCGTTTTCCAAAAAAACTAGTATTTGTGCTGATAAAAGATTTATATAATAATAATGATAATATTTAATAATAATAAAAATTAGATCGACTGTCCTTATATAATAAGAGTTTTCGAATTTTAAAATTTTATGAGCCTGAAAATGGTACAGTATGAAAAAAGTAGTGTAACATTCGGTGTATTTTTGTACCCAGTAGTATGTTATTTAGACAAAGACAGTTGCAGAGTTACCTGAAATGCGGTGCGTGTAACTAAGATGGAAATATCTGCGTCACCGTTTCTCCGATTACTCGCATGTTTCCATTATTTTTACACAGCCTGTATAAGTTTCGACTGACTTAGATTGTAGGAATCGACTTGAAAGGTCGAAGTTTATATTGGGCTAATCAATACAACGAAATTCCCTTGTATGAAAAAAATGTTCCAAAAACAAATTTTCGGCCTTAAAATCAAAGACTTCTTTCTATTTTCGTGGCACTAATAAGAACTTTGTTTGCCTTTATTGGAGCTCGACAAAGGGCTTCGAAAAATTAATCGTGTAGGGTTTGTTGATTAGCCTAAACAATTCTCAATTTTGCTCTGAATTTCATTTTTGACTGTAACTTTTGGGTATATTCTCTGCATCTTCATTGGCAGTTTGTAAATAGAATGTAAAAATTGCTCATATGTAAAGATTGTTTTTGTTGAAAAGATGTTATGCGATAAGTTTCGATTATTGCAATAATTTTTACCGAAGCGGGACGAATTTCTATTTCGATTTGCAGATGATGGCACTTTTGTCAATCCGTCGAGTGTACAGATTTTGGGACGGATATTTTCGAAAAGCGAAATTGTTTTCGTACAAGAAGGGTGAAGAAGAAGGCGATCGTTATTCATTTTTCACATTGTTGACTTTTTCTTATTGGTGAACGAATTATAAGAGATTACGAGTTTAGCAATATTTTTTCATCATGTAAAATAAATCCAGGCATTTTGTAAATCCTATGTATTATAATCATATTAAACTATATTGAAGTTATTATATAGTATGTAAATTTTGTATTGTAGCTGCTGTTAAATATATTATTATATGGCTAATAAAAGATTTTTCAATTTAACTCCAACAATTTTTTTATTTTATCATCTGTTATCCTCAGCTGTCGTTGCACCAATTTTAAGTGAAGTGTTAGGTGGAAGAGCGGTAAGTATTGAATTAATTTGATTTTGTTTAATTAAGCACTAAAAATGCGAATGCAAAATGAATTTGATGGAAAATCAGCTTTAAAACAACAGAAAGCAGTCAACGGATCATTTCATAAATTTGAAAAACATGAAAATAAAAATGTTACGACCCAAAAACCAACAAAAATGTGGTGAAAGCAGGAATACGACTGAAACATACAGAATGATTTAAAAATAAGTTAATTTTTTTTAAATTTTCTATTGGATCAAGCACTTTTTGCGTACACCAGTCGAGCTCGCACATAAAAAATAATGTTGCACTTTTATTGCTTGTTTAGAAGTTGCAACGAAAAAACCTCTCGTTAAGTTTCCTGCGTTGAACGCATCATTTTCCAGTAAAAAAATAAAAATCGTACCATCAAGTCTGAGTAGAGCTGATTGATTCAGGTAAATGCTAAAACCCACATGCGTATCAGTGATAAAAACGCTCCAAGTAAGGACTGATATAAACGAAATAATTAAACAGCTGTCTTTGCATTGAGAAAAGATCCCTTTCATTCGATTAGCGTCAATGACGCTTAGATAATCCAATTGCAATCAAATTGAAATCAATCAATGCCAAAGAAAATTGAAGTAACGGCGCTCTTTCCTTTTCCAAATAGTGGTAGTTGCGCTTACAAAACCGCTGGTAACCAATGAGGGAACTGTGCAACAGTGAGCTTGAAACCATTTGAACTTATCATTGATATTCGGTCAAAGCTAATTATCTTTCACTTTATATTCGAACAAATTTAGTCATTGCATTTCCCCTCGGCCCCAATAAATAAAACAGTCCAACCTGTTATTGTTCCATTCTTGCATTTCCCTTTATAACTTATGAAACGGGTCTTTTCCTTTACATGTGCGGCGTTTATCGGAAAACTGTTCCCAAGCCAGGCACTACCATCAATTATTTTTCAGTTCCTTTCCTCCACTTTTAATAATTGAGCATCCTGACGCGTTGATTTCAACTACCATTTAATCAATCAAAGGTCATTGTCGTCACTTGTGGTCTGTTTATCAAATATTAATTAGTTTGAGAGGGTTTAAGAGCGGCACCGCGCAATGGAACTGTGCGCTCGATTAATTAAATTTCGTTATCTTAATTAGCCCGGAAATGTGTTACCACCAATACAGCAGAAAATACTCTAATGTTACTGCCTATGACTGCTTGAAATCATATCGAGTCGAAGTGCACATTTTCGGAAAAACTCTTAGTATTTTGAGCTTGAACTTGTTTATGTATACGAATATAATCGCATGGACCTGCCGCTAGTGGCTTTTTTGTTTGTGGACTAAAAGATAATGCAACCGTAAAAGGCTTTTGAAGGTGTATTGAAACCCTGGACAAACAAACATTTCAACAAGGGTTTTTGGCTTAATTTCTTCGCCTCAATGGACGGAAAATTCCCCGGATGCGAACCCGATGGATTTTCCTTTCTGGGGTATTTTGAAGGCAAAGGTTTGCTGAAACACAAAAAGTTCGGAGGCTCCCAAAAAGTCCCTTGCGTGCAGCCTCCGATTATTTGCACACTTTTTCATTTGAAGTAAAAAAATTATAAAGACAAGAGAATTACGGGCTTTTAATCATGGGATCGACAATTCATATCAGCCAGTCTGTATAAAAACGCTGCTTTACGACTGCTGTTTTCATAACTCATATGAACCTTATTTACCCCGCAAGTCAAAACAATAGCAAATATCAGCCCAAAGCAGGGAAAACAGAAATTCCCAAAGTTTATCGGTCTTAGCGCAACGTTATGAGCGGGAGTTACACGAAAGCAGTTGTAGGAAGCCCCGATTAATACACAAACATAAACCATTTATATTTCAAAGTTGTTTATATTTTGCGATGGCTCCAGTTCGTTACCAGAAGATAAACAGGGCTCGTCTCGCGCTGTATTTGCGTGTCAAAATTAATTTTCCAGAATGACGTTCGGTCGGTATTAAGTATTGTAATAATCGTGGTACACGTAAAATCTTATCTAAATGTGGGTCGTTTCCAAAACCATTTTGCCGCAAAAGGCATGGATTATTCCGCGAAATGTTTGACGACGATGTTTTTCGTAACATTCCACCAGAGGAGAGGGTGATGAAAGTCATTTGCCTGCGGATATTCAAAGGGGACGTTGTTAATTCCGAAAATCCTTAATTCGCAAATCCTGAAATAATACTTTGGGAGCAGGAGCGTCTCTAAAATAAAATGAGTCAAGCCCGCTATCAGAACAGGAACTAATCCGACTTTTTACATGTACTTGGCTGTTCGAAATCTTCAATTTCCTCAACCTTTTCACCGCGACAATGACCAAAAGTAAGTTATAATCAATCGATCAAGAAATACAAATCAAATAGACCTAAACCGCAGATTAAAATGAAAAGAAGCTGAAATTACAACGTAGATTAAATGAGCCTTTTATTCCAAAGCCCATTCAACTAGACTTACACAATAAACTGCTAATATAGTTAACCCAAAGTGGCATAATGAAAATCTATTGAAACTGAGTTTGAGCTAATATGAGGTTATGGGCTTTTAACATCGTAAAATTGTTGTCAGCTCTATTGAAGCAAGTGGTTGGTTAATTCGTGGATGCGACGTTTCGACTGGCAATACCATCAGGCGATCCAAAAAATATGAAAATTCATCTACTTGTGACAACAGATGGAAAAATGCAGTTTTCCTTTGAGATTTGTGTTGATGAAATTCGGGGATCCACAGAATAGATGCTTGAAGAATTTTCGAATCGGAGCAGTTATCAAATGCGTCAATAAGATCTAAAAATACTGTTGTAAGTGATTTTCGTAGTACCTAAGCTAACTGGATTTTTGATGAAATAATTTAGCTGCTTATTGCACCTCTAATCGCCTCCCAGGAGCAATTTTTTGATAATTGAAACTTTCTCAATTTACGCGAAACGTTAGGATTTTCAGTCTTTTGCAAGCTTGGTACAAGTACAAATTATTGGCTTGTCACAAGCAAGCTGGTATTTAAAAGAGTTTTTCTGGCCCAAAAATGATGACATCAACAGGGCCAATCGAAGGCTGGCTAAACTGAAAAAATAAAATTCCAACAATATCCAGAAAGATTAATCATTGCAGAGACATAGTATTTGCCTAGTTTACATTCTCATTTTAAAACAAGTGAGGCTCTATGCCCCACACGCACATATAGAAATTTACATCGTCAATTTTGGAGAAGCGCCCTGAAATACGCCCGTCCTTTTTATTATTTAATTTTTTTGCTAAATTCTGCTGAAATCAGCTTCGTACATCTTATGTACATTTCGGCGAGCAGGCTTGAAGAATCCTGCACAGGGTGGCCGTTGGGTGGGGCATTTGGCTGTTAAATCAGAATTAAACTTTGATCCCAGATTTACTACTCATTCCCCTTGAGAAATTTTAATGTTGTGGCTAAATACGGTTAGGCAAACTTGATACATATCATACATGGTAATCTAATCTAAAAATTACAATTGGAATTATGTACTGTTATAATAATAGACTGTGACAGCACTTGGTAATTTTTCATCAAAAATCCACCTGCAACGGCAACGGCTCATCAATCGTCTAGCAGCTAATATTCAGGCGCTGTTATTTCTTGCAAAGAAAAATACCATTTTATCCACTTATTTGATGGAATCATTTCGTTAATTTTTGTAATTACTATTCGCCTTTATTGAAAAGAATGCTTAATCGACAGGTATTTTATTAATAGTAATGTTATTATCAACTAAAAGCCTTTCAAGTAATGGAGTATTGATATATTTCCAGGCTTTTAATAAATAGCTTTAGGAACACGTCATTTATGGCCTTTAAATTATATAATGTAACACTGAAATTATCATACAATGAAGGGCTGAATACATTTAAAATGTTGCTGGCTTTTGAATGAAAAAAATAGACCGTTGGGTTATTGCGAGGAACATCCTGTTTCGAACTCCAATTAGTCCAAGATTGCAGGAAACATTGGCAACAAAAATATCGTATTGGAAACTTTGATCATTCCTGAAGCTCCGTATCCAGGCCTGTAGCCAGTCAACTTTCCGCTTAACACAATTTCCTCGGTGAATTCGCGTTTTCCGTTTTGCCGGCACGGCTTCTTGGGAAAATTGAAATATTTAACCTGAATCATTCTAGTGCTGGCGCTTAATAATAAATAAACGGTTGATGGTTTGCTGAAAATTTCAAGGATACAGGATAAAATATGCGCGAACCATCCAAGTATGTGCTTGCAGATATAAAATCTACCTTTCTGAAGTAGTCGAATTAAATATTATCTACTAAAACCGCCATGAAGATTAACGGGTAAGCTGCAATTACTTAGCGATAATTCAACTCGAATTCGGTCGAAAGCTAAATGATAAAATGCGCAATTAAAACCGATAGGAAGTTCCTTAAAAACAACCAAAAGCTCGTATATCCCCCTGCCATTAGGCAAACCGTTCATCCACAATATGGTCAGACCCGTCCCAGAGGGTCTAATTTATCAAACTACCGACCTTTCGATATTTAAGTTTTATGGGACAAACTTAAGCATAGCTAATTACAGAGGATCGAAATCATTATTTTAAAACTTTTTATAAATACCCTTCTCCGTTCGGAAACCGACCGCTTCTTCCTACCTGCTTCACGCTACCAACACACTGTTGCCAGGTATTGAAAGTTTCAATTTTTTTCCTGCGAAAGCGCATTTTGAAGACAAACTATAGCAGCTGGGGAGTGAAAAGTTGGGAGTTTCTGCGAATTTTTCATTGGTGCAACCAGGAAAAACCACCTTAGAGTGAGCAGCTATTTTCCGAAAATTATTTGTTTGTTTAATTAATAGAAAATTTAGATGCTAAAATTCCACTACAGTGCGTGGATCGGATGGAAACGTTTGAAACACGGCTGATCCAATCGGATTGTT